CTCAGAGGTCTGTCTTAATGGTTAATTTGTCATAACGAATCACGTCTGACAAATTATTTCATAAAAGTGTATGAACAAGGAAAAAAAGACACACTCTCAAGTGTGTGCTTAATGCAGATTTGCAGTTTGACCATGAGATTGAATCTGACTGATTAATAAATCTCAAGAACCCCCATTTTCACTTGCAATAGGCAATGAAAGTCAGAGCAAAATGAAACACTTCTTTAAATGCCTTATTCAAGATGAAGGGTGAGGCTTGAAGTGGAGGATTAAATTATCTTTCATAAAAAATGGATAATCAGAAATGGAATGCATACCAAAGGGCAGGGATGCCCGATCTTCTCCTGAAACAGACCGACCAACCCAAATCAGGTGCAAGTTCCCACCACCACCTGACTTGACCTGTCACACCTGCTTCCGTCAGCGAAGAAAGTCCCAGACACACAGGTCCAAGACAAATGAGGAAGTGAGAATGCTGCTGTGTTTTCAAGCTCTCAGGCTTTTAACATCCTTTAGGGTCAGATCCTGAATGGGTAAAGGCTGTTCTAGGGGGCAAAGGATGTGCAAGACGATACTGGAAAGGTGTTTAACACATCCTGTGTTTAATACACCCCACTGTGATGATTTTACCATCCATATGTGAATAAGCTGAAACAGCAATTTGGTACAGGCCCATTCTGAAGTCCTACAGCTGATCATAGAAAAGCCAAGCAATTCGTTCGTCTTGAATATATGTTTAATATATTGATGTAAATCCCATCATATAACGACCTGTAGCCACAGAATCTTCATTCTTGCTGCATATCCGGAGTTGGACGACGTCCTCCGTCATTGCAGGTAAGAACTCTGTTATTTGGCAGTTGGGGTTATAGCCTGGCAGAGTGTCCCCAGCATAAATACCTCCTTCAGGCCTGTCAGGTGCCCACGAGTTCCCCACTGGCAGCAGGCAGAGACTGAGCACCCCTCCCCCAAAGCACACATCCCCTGCCAGCCTCCCTTCCCTTTCAGTTTAGCACTCGCAGGCCTAAAGTCAGCCTTTCATTAAAGCCTCCACACAGCCAGCCTCGCTGCCTGATAGAACTGAGCACAACGCCTTTGTATTGAAAACGTCCCCAATCACCAGCCCCCTTCACAGACATAAAACCAAAAATCTTTTCTGGCTCTGTCTTAAATTTTTGTGTTTTTCATCCTTGTCACCCTATACTGGATAAATTGTTGTCAAAGGATGAATAAATTGATTTATATTTAGATTTAAAAACAATATTTTAGATTTTGTAATTCACATTTTTTTTTTAATCAGCAAAAATACAAAATAACAATACTAACAATAAAACAGCAGGACTGAGGGTGTTTCAAAGAATTACAGATCGTGAGTTTCTGGGAGGGGCTACTGGGGACCCGTGAGCAGCTGAATTTGACAAGAAAAATGCCAGGGATATTCAAAGAATGTTAATATTCCCACGATACTGATCAAAGACATTATGAATCTCAAAAACGTATGATCAGGATTTACTCGCTCCAGATTAAAATGTCCGAGCTTCCAATCCCCTAACTGACATTGGCGTGTAAATACACCATCCCTTACTGCCCTGGACCCTGGGCCTTGCTGACTCAGACAGCCCATTTGCAGAGGCAAAAACCATGCCCCCCCCCCTCTTCTTCACCCTCTTCAAGAGCATCCTAGATAAGGTGACTGTTTCTTTGCATAACTTTCACTTTATTAGCTGTACAAAATGTCAGAAACTTCCAGAAAAGCACACAGTAATAATTAGCAGTAACCAAGGTCACTAAGTGGATAGTATCAGCATAACAATGCGATCACTGGGAAGGGATCAGAAAGGAGTGGAGTATCAGTGCAGAAGCTGCACAGAGGTAATTATTTATTTCGCCCCCATGAATTTACTTCTGCCCCTAATGCCCCATTCAGGTTCTTCTCACCTGCCACCTGACTGTCACTTTCCTGCTTGATGTTTTCCGTCATACACCATCAGCTCCTGGGATAGTGGATTCCCTTCCTGACCTTCTCACAATGCTGGATGATGAATAGGTACAGAGTAACCGGTCAGCTTAAAACACTAATGCTTCTACCATAATTCAGCATGTAAGATGGTTTTAATGGAGGATCAGTGGCACTTACACATGCACAGCTATCATAAAAACATCTTAGTCTAATGCAGTGGGTGCATTTCAACTAACCATGATGGTCAAAGCAACCTAATGGACTAAATGTGATTTGCCCCCATGTCCCTTTTGCTCTGTGCTTGCTGCAGAGAATTTAGAAAAAAATACAAAAGCTTAATAACATTTTAAGGGAAAACCCCTTATCTACGGATTTCTGCTAGTACAACATCATTCATTTGTCATATGTTCTTTGCTGCTTTTTTGAAGACACGCAGCTCTAGGGACAGGACATCAAGGGTCATTTCTGAGTCTTTGCATCAGTTGATTTAACCTAAATAGTTATTCTCAGACATTTTATTAGCTCTGGGACTTGGTATGTTCTACACAGCATAATATGCAAATTTATAGCATGCGACTTCAATTTGAATTGAATAATGTATTAGATTATAAATCAATTATTAATGCATTCTATCATTATATTACAACCATCTTCACAAGAAACCTTTTAACAAAGAAGGCTGGTGATACTATTTAAAGTTCAAGCATATTTTGCACACGTTCACATCTTGTACGCAATTTATCATCATTGATAAAATATGGACCTCAAATAGATTAGCTGCTGGCTGTGCTGCCTGAATGTGTGATATTAGTAATATGAATGGTTTATTAATTTTCATGGTGTCCCTTCATACATGTCCATACATGTTAGAAAGAATGAAAGATTCACACCTTTTCCTGCAAGCAGGAAACTTGTCATTACTGAGACTTTCAGTTTCTGATCCAGCTTTTACGTGTGTTTACATGCTATGTGAAGCATCACACATTGTACTGCTTAAAGTGTACATTATGTGCATCATAAAAGACAACAGACTGATGAGGGAAGTGCGGTGTCACCTTGGAACCTGAATTACTTCAGCAAAATAGGCAGATATATAAATAATTAAACACATCAAATAATAGGGCTTCCTCATCACAGAGAGACAGCCAGACTATTTTATCCCCAGCAGGCAAAGTCATCTCAGAAATGCAGAAACGCAGAAAGAGCACTGCGGTGCGAACAGAAGCACATTCATCTTGATACCACACTAGGTGACTTGTGCTAGTAGCACAAAGACTGGATCATCATGCAAATATTGTCCTGTTCTTGGAAGACCTTCTTCCCTTGTCCTTTAGCACTAACAAATAAAACTTGATAACTGAAATGAACAATATAAATAATGAAGTATTTTAATAAACCTCACTTGAGAGTTGGTGTGAAAATGTAATTAGACTATTGATAGTCCCCAATGAAAGACTAAAATAAGTAAGCACAGAACCGCTTCAGAAAAGTAAAGAAAATCAATCTAGTCACCTGACCGCAAAGAAAGATTAAATCATACTGTAGTTTGGTCTTCCATGCTGGCATTTATGTCAGCAGACGGCACTATAATTCAAACAAAGCTCATGAGATATTCATGCAGTGCCATGAAATGCCAGGACCAAAAGAGCGACAGTCCAGCTCTACACAACTTCCAAGGCCATCAGCGCACCATTTAAACCAGCTTTTAAGGGAAATAACCGGATCAATTAGTCTGAAAGAAACTACAATCGCCGGGGTGCATACGAATCACACACCTAACGATCCGAAATGCGCACAGCTGCGGTTAAACAGTGACAAAGCTGCACTTGGCAGCGATGCAAGGCTGAGTGTCTGCATGGGGACCGGTATTAACGCCACACACGTCCTCAGCAAAGATAATATTTTGTTCTACAATTTCCCAAAATTGCACTTTTAAAGCCTGAAATGTACGGGAATTTCATTACAAATATTTTCCAATGGTTATTTCTTCTCAATAGGCTATATCTGGAAGCGTGAGTCCCTTTGAGTAAGTGCAAACAGCACTTTATTTATACTGTTCGAGAATTTTCCGCATCGGCTACCACTGAATCAGTCACCCCGTGGTATCGTAGTAGCATATGTTCCCTTTGGTACATTTGGTTCTTTGCAGGCTATTTAATTTTTCTGAAGCATTTCCGATCTTTTCAGGAGCGCTGTATGTTTCACAGATCGCGTCGAGACTTCCCAGTGAAAGACATCTGTCATCGGAAAACAGAAAAACAATTTATCACAAGACCAGATATGATTCTTGCACGTACGTTTAGACCTATTACTTTTCTATTTTATTTTGCATCGTTTAGAGTAACTATAAGTGCCCGCCGAATAAAAACAAAAGCAGACAATTAAGCTGATCACCCTCCAGATCCACCCTAATGTCTGGCATCAGAGCTCCGTATCCCAATGATCATGCCACACAGTAAGTGATCCTGCTTAACCATGCTTTGCTTAATAAAATACACCGACGACTGTCATCACAGTCGATTTCCGATAATCGATTAGGGGTAGTGACTCATCACAATAAAAACGACTCGTTTAGAGATCAGATCTATACAGAGACAGCACATATGCATCCACATTTTTGACTATTGCAGAAAGTACCTTGACACTGAACAATGCATCCAAACCTTCGTGTTGTCTGTTACGATGTTACGCAATGTCAGAGAATCCATGAATAAATCAAACCAGATAGAATATTAACAGCTCTCTTAACATGCATTTTTCAGTTACGGGTGGCTCTAACCCAATGAGTGACTTGTAGCCAGGAGTGATGCAAAGACACTCTCCCTCAATTGGTAGGCTATAACATACAAATGTACCTGAGAAGACAAAACAGGGACTATGTGTACACACGCTTGCTGGTTCAGCTCTTTCTGGATATTCAGCAGCTTTTTTGATTACGCTTGCATATAGCTCAGATTTTTATACAAATATATTGCACTATATCTGCACAAAACCAAAGGGCAAAATATCAAAACGCAAGACATGCACGTAAAACACCCACCTTTCACTTGAGTCTCGTACTCCCCAATTATCTCCTTATCCTTCTTGAATTTAGTTTGAGATGACATGTTTCCTGAGGTAGGGATTGTAGTAAGAAGTAAGATGCTCAATTGGTGTAGATCCAATGCTTTTTATATTTAGCTGGCGATTCGGTAATATTTTTCTTCCAAGCAAGATTGTCCCTGTGATTCCCTCCCTACACAAAACGTATTTTCTCGAAAACAACTAAAATTTCACATAGGCCAGACCCTGGTGGTTTAAAGTTAAACTTTTAAAGGCAATTTGATGTCCACCTGCATCAATGATTTTATTTCTCGATCCGTGCAAAGAAGTCATATGCTCTAGCGAGGAAAAGGGACTCCACCTTCATTGCGATAACATGCCTCCTAAAGCCTGAGCAGCGGTCGCAAAAAAAAGAATAGACCGTCTTTATCCAAAAAGCGAAACGGACTACGAAACATCAGACTTCAGGTTTCCTTCCATTCCCAGCGCATTACATTAATTTAGTTATAATTGATCATATATGTCCATAAACGTGCAGCTTGATAAGGATCGTTTTAAACACCGAGGTTTTTTTGCTGCAGGACTAGACGAAACGCACAGATCGTCACATTAGACTCCTCCCATTGTAGAGCTGCCCCCCTTCGCTTCTCTGTAATTACACGCTCATTGTGGACTTGCACGGCCCAGCATTGGGAGATGAATGGGAAGTTGTTTCGAAACTGCGCAGACAAAACGGTTTCAAATGGTGTCATAGATTTTTTCTTTATTTTTTTTAAAAAAGAAAAAACCCTTATGGTTGTTTTGATGCATTTGTAATGGAAATGTATAACAGACTATAATGCTCTTATTGATAGTATTGTTGTAGTATCCATTTCTGAGCTGTTAACATAATTATTGTCGAGGTCATTTCAATGTCTGGATGAAGAATTCAGAATAACGTTCGGCATCATTGAGGTTTCTTATAATGGCAGTAACGGGTCCACAATCGCCCCCATCCCCCATCCCTAAAGGTTGAATGATGACAGATGTGCGCCCATCATGACAGGCCGCAGATGCAGACATAGTACAAAGCCAGATCGCAACAATGGTGCCCCACCTAAGTGTTAATATGTAACCGGACGTATTAACTGGAGTTTGAGGCTGCGCGTGCTATACTCAGCAAAATCTGCTGAATTTTAGGAATTTACTAAATGTATGGATGAATTCCTGAATCTGGATTTATGATGAATGGATAGATGATGCCAAAATTTGTATGGCAAGCAGGACAGTATGTCAGAAATGTTAATGTACGCCCTGTAGTATGGCTATCGCCTATGGCTTACTCACTGGGGGCTTTGGGTGGGGATGCTGTAAAGCGCTTTGAGACGATGTAATGTTGTGATAATGCGCTATACAAAAATAGATTTGTTGTATTTGTTGTTGTTGTTGTTGTATCGTTTCGGTGAGTCTGGTATCACAAGTTTATTTAGCTCAGCCTTAAAATACATAATGGCTAAGCTATCAGAAAGCATAACAGCAAAGTTACAGGCCTACAATGTATATTGCCAACAATAAAATATCACTTAAAAATAGATTGGCAGATGAATGACTGGTTATCATCAGTGTAACTTCTCCATCAGAACAATGTATAGAGAATTTTTAATCATTATTGCTTTGCAGAACTTTTTAGCATAAAACCCTTTTTGCAAGGTGTGGTTTTGCCTGGTTCTGCGGGCAGTTGGCATCGGAAACAGTGAAAACCAAAGCAGGCTTTACTGACCTCTGCTTTCCGTTAGTAATATATCAACAAAAGCCAAAAATATTTATAGAGTTTTTATTTTTACTCCTTCTTGAAATCCATTTTAGTACCAGAGAGTTTAATTATATTATTCTGGCATTGTTTAAATTTCATGTTGTGTGTCAGAGAGCACAGGGATATTTGATACCACATAGTTATGTATACGTATGTGTGGTTGGTTAATCCAGTACTCTAAAGTTATATTCATCTAAATGTCCTTTGGTGAAATATTTCCCTCAAACATGAACAGAAGTATGAAACACAGATGTGCAAAATGAGAACAGACATGTTTTGCATATCACTACATGTGATCCACCAAATACTACTAATAAAAAAGCTGTATAAACGATATTTAAAGCAATTCCCTTCTATTGTAAACACCATTCCATAACTCGTGCTGTCTCATGTCTGTCTGGTGAAAGGGTGACTATGAGGAGGTGAAAGGTGCTCTGCTAACCCATGTATGGAGTGTCCACATCTCTCATCTTCATGACCTGCAGAATCCTGTCATGGCCATGTCCATGTTACCCATGTTCACTAATATAACAAAGAGGTTATAATGATTTTATTTAGTGGCCTTTGCATTTTTAATGCTGCAAAAAAAGTATTTAGTTTGAAAGTTGGAAAGATCACCACAGTTCAAGAGTAGAAGAGAGTAGATAGAAGGCTGAACTTCTTCAAGATTGCAGTGTGACTTGTAAATAATGTATGTACATGCAATACACATGGTCGAAATTTCTATTGCACAATTTATCAGCAAAATGTTTATATTTTACAGTTTTAACTACTAGAGAGCTTAGATTTATCTGGTCAGCCATAACTAAAGAATATAATTAAGACGTTTAAATTTGAAGTGCAACGAAATAATCAGTGCTTGTAATCCTTTATAGATAATATTCAGCTCTGAATGGTTTAAAGTAGATTGCATTTAGGCCTGGTGTTCATGCCTAGATAACACATTTTTACTTTAATCACAGAAAGATGAATTGCGTTTCTTTATGAGGCCGGCGTTCCCTTTTGTGCACAGCTCAAATGCACATCATCTAAATGCAAAATGGCAGTGTGTCACATATGTGTAGATCAGGTCGATGCCATTAAGAGCCGCATCAGAGATGCTCATTGGCTGTGATTCCAGAGGGTTTGGGACCAAAGACTTAACCTGATGGCTCCTGTCAGCAGGATTTCTGTTAGTTTGTTCGCCTGAGGGAAACTTCATGCCAGGAGTAACACAAGCTGATCCTGTGAGCAGCCAGAGGAAAAGCCAATCTGTGACCTGACAGGAAGCGAATCCAAACGAACCGCGCACTGGCTGATAGAATGAAGTGTGCATGACGTCCCCTGCTTTGCACCCTGTGTTTTCTGGGCCAGGCTCCAGGCTCACAATGACCCAGTACTGGATAAGTGCTTCTGGAAGATGGATGCATACTGCGAGAGACAAGAAATTTGTGCAGAGCCCGTTAGAGTCTCTTAGAGATGAGCTGCATAAAGAGAATGGGTAATGAAGGTGTTTGTAAATCCAGTTGCTTCTTCAGGCCTACTTCAAATATTCCAGTTTTATTTCTTTATTTAGGATTTTAGATCAAAGTCTTTTCTGCTATTATTTCTATTATTGTATTTTCTGATTTGTAATACATTTTTATGTGTATCTTCTCTGAATGTTTGGAATGTTTTGTAATGGGGAACTGTGTTAGGGCCTTAGTGCAGACACAAGGTGAACAAAATGATGTGGAAAAAATGTTAGAGGTCACCTGTGATATATCTGTTGTATAATCAAAACTGTGTTGTTAACAATAACAATGGACGATTATTAGCAGTAATCTGGAACAAACCCTTCCTGTGAGTAAATATAAATGGCTTCAACAGCTCCCTCCTAGCCTTCAGCTGTCTAAATACATTTTATGGGTGATGAAGCACCCCAGGAAAAGTTACATTGAGGTTTTGGTGGAAAACTAAACCGTATGGGATCTGAAATGGCTTTTGGTGCTGTTAAGGTGTTTTGCTTGCGCAATTCTTACCCCAGTGCCGGTCCGCACATGTCATGCACTGCTGCATTAATCACTACACCCACCCCCCAACTATGTACGTCGCTCTGAATTAACTACCTATCAAAAGCCCGTCTGACCTGTCCAAGCCCAAACCTTGTTTCAAGCTTTTGTGTTTATAGGGGCTTTTAACACAACAGATTTCCATGGAAAAGCACATGACTGCAACCCTTCAGCCTCAAAGGCTTTAAAAGGAAAGCTTGTATCATTTTCTCCAGCCTTCAAATAAAATATGAGCATGAGAGATTATGCAAATCCCCCCTCCCCCATTTTTGTGATTGGGTATATCGCTGCCTACATCTCTCTGAGCACAAGTGTGCTCTTTTCACACGGACGTTTAACTACGAGGGTCACCAGAGATTTAGGAAAATCTCCCGTGTTCCTTGCAACTCCACCTGTGACACCCAGCAGCTGTTACTGGCTCCAGGAGAAGCAGCCAAAGCCTCAGGGTGCCCTTTCTGACACTTGGAGGGATTCTTCTCCTTTTTTTTGTTTACAACAAAAGTGAGAGCAGGCCGCCTCCCTCCGCTCGCCACTCATTATTAGGCATCTCAGGGAGAAAGCCTGGGAAACTATGACTTCACTGTTTTTGAGGCACAAAGCTCCATTGTCTCGGGCCTTCACTATTTCATTCTGGAGGCCTGAGTGGGGGCTGCGTTCACATTCACCAAAGCGAGGAGCAACCGAAAACAATGTCCGACCCTGGGATTCTGTCTGGAGTACTGTGGCAAAAGGAATTAGAATAGCACTGAAGAAGAAGAGGAGGACTGGCTCAGTGCTGGGGGGTTTGGTATCTTAAAAATTCCCCCAATGAGGGAATGAGGTCAAACCCATGACTTTAGGGAAAAGGAATGCATAGTTCTTTCTTTTATACTTTTTTATTAGTTATCATAATATGGGACTGGCTTGTTATTATTATGATTGTTAAGTACCAGGAAAAAATATATTCATAAAATGTCTGTGAATTAAGTTTATATTTCATTTGGATGTACTGCTTTATTGGTAGAATAGCCTTTTTCACAATAATAAGCATTTATTAAAATGCCACATCTTTTTGTTTGTTTTGTCTTTCTTTGGCAAGATAAAGACACTAATTCATAAATTAGCCTCAAAACTACACTGTCGATACTGAGAAAAAAATATTAAATGTATAGAGACGTCAAGGGGATCTGAGAGAGGGACTAAGTAAATTGACCTCTGACCTCCAGTGACCTTCCCAAAGCCTTTAGAAGATTCGCGCCATCTTTCCTTTGTTGATGTTTTCGCTGGATGGAGGCGATCCTCACAAGCGTTATGGCTTGTCAGCTTTCAAATAATCCACGGAAAATCACCCAGGCCCCATAAAATGCTGAAGCTAAAGAGAATTATTTACAGACTGGCTGTGTAGACTGCGTTTCAGTGCCATTTGCCTGACAGTTTATATACACAGCTTGGCAAGCTGAGACATTTATCCAGCTTTTGCTGAACTTGTGAACATGTCTGTCATACCTCAAGCACATCGCATGAGAAGTGTGGAAAAAAATGAGCCATCTTTTTTTAAACCTGTGAATGCTTATTTTAAGATATTTAATAAGGTCTAAAACTTTTCAAATACAAAATATTACAGGTTTTTTTTAAATATAGTTCAGCTACATTTTCTCAAAGTCAAAATTGGTAGCTATGTCTAAACACTTCGGACATGTCAGACATGCACAACTGAACAAAATCTTGTAGTGGATTGCTGTCCAAAGTTCTAGGAATTGGACTTCTAGGACCTGAACTGATTCAGTTTTAGAAACCAAAACAAAAGAAACATGGGTTTAATAATTCTACTGGTGAAACACTTTAACCTTATGAACAAACAGTTT